GAGTTTTTTACACTCCTATAAAATTTTTTTTATTTAAAACTCTATACAAAAATTTTTTTTTTTTTTTGAGGGGTGGGGGGGTGGGGGGGGGGTGGGTCGCAAAAAAGGTGTGTCCGCAGTGAGTCCAGCATTAAGGTAGGAAAGCCTGATAAATTTGGTGAAGGGCGAAAGTTTCTTGGTTCGGATAGGAATCTGACGAAGGTTGCAAGTCCGACTTTGGGTAGAAGTTCTATCAAAATGAACATAAGTTGGCGTCCAACAAAGTCGTCGAGGTAGAAATCTGGTCGACGAGCGCGAGTTTCAACGTCGAAGTAGAAGTCCGGACGTCAGTCAGCATCTTCCAGTTAAACTCCGGCATCGGGAGGCTGGTGCCGTGAAAGATCCATACGGTGGTTCCGAGGGAGGAGTCTCTTCCTTTTCTCTTCTTAAGCTTTTCCAACCTTACTTGTAGTCGCATCGACTCTTTTCCTTCTATGAAGAAATTGGTTGCCAGAGAGGTTCTGGAGTCCAAGGCGAGGGAGAGTGCAGTGAAGGAACTTATAAATTATTTTTCTAGTATGTCTATATGAGTTCAAACAGTAGCTTAAGATCTTAAATAGAGGAGGATAATAGGGCCAAAATGTGGAATTGTTTTTTTTGGAATAGCAAAGTTATGATGCGCTTAAAAGCACGAGAGCTCTCGATATTGTAATCATCCCTTTGTTTGATCGTTGGACCGTTCGTCCTAAGACATATTAAACTTTGATCTCACACTTTAATGATATGCGGAAATTCTAAAATCTTTTCCTGCGCTCGTTGGATTCAGAATCTCGGATCGAGCGAAACTCCCTGATTAACAGTAAATTTGCCGCTCTAATTCAATTTAATTTGTCATATTGTTTGGGAAAACCTGTTTTTGCGATAATTTACACCAAAAATTATGGATTGAATCATCATTTCACCATTGCCTCTTCCTGACCCAATGTGCTCGGGTCTTGTCGATTTGGATCGCAATTTGGGCTTGCGTATTCCATCCGATCTCTCTCTTCTCTTCTCAAATAACAGAAACCTCAAATAAAGCCTTACACACACTTAAAAAAAAAGGTCAATTGTCAAGCTGTACGGCAGCAACCAACGTCGACGCGGTCTATCAAATCTACATCAAAATCTGTCTATAGAATCTCCGCCCCTCCGAATTAAGCTTGGTCCACACGAAGCAAAATCTTATTATCAAGACAATAAAGGGTATTTAAATACATATCATTTAATTTTTAAAAATAGTTCAAAATTATTATTTATTTATATAATACTTATATTTTTAGATCTGATTAAAAATAATAATATTATTTATTACGATATTTAAATATTATATTAATATTAAAAATAAACTTTAATATTAAATATAAAAAAATAAAAATCCCTAAACCTGCCATGCATCATCAGTCTTAAACGAATAGTCGAGTTACAAGCAGTGACAACGAGCAACAGTAGAAAACTTTAATGTTATTCTAAAATAACTTCTTAGTACAAAAATTTGTAATTCAAGACATATTTGTATTAGAAAGTTGCCTTAAAAAATGAAGAGAAAACCGTTCCAAACGAAATCTTATCGTATCAAGTAGCTGTGAAGGGACCCAGAAATCAAATGAACTCAAAAGCTTTTTATTTTTTTTATTTTTTAATATTTTACTTGAATTAAGCTTAAATATTTCGTGGCTTTAATTAATGTGGAACTCCTAAGAAGCTAAAATGGCTGATCATGGGGAGCATATCAAATCCTGTATGAGCTGTCTTTATACTTGATTGATTGTTACTATACCTGCATGCATGCATGTCCTATTTTCCTTAGGCCAATTAGATAAAACCCCACACTATGCTTGTCTGTGTCACTGCTAGCTAGCATGGTTCACCTCTTACATTTGGCCCAGGGGAGGTTTTATTTGGTCCAGGTGTGTGCTTGTTTGGAGTATAGCCTCATAGAGAAATTATTCCGTGCGGTCATCGGACAGCATCTATAAGAGAATCAGGATATGCCACATTTTTTTTGTTATGTATTGGTGCTATGTATTGCTGTGTACCGGATGATGTGATGCACATTGATTCGTCGCTGTACGGTAACTGCACAGAGTAATTTCTCCATATTCAGTGGTTGGGAAAGTTATCACATGGATAATGGACTAATTAATGCGAATTTGATTTTTTTTATTTTATGTTTGAGTATAATTTAACTCATTTATATCTTAATCTAAATATATCTAAATAGAAATATTTCACATTAGTAGAGAAAGGCCTGCAAATTGAGTGAAAAAATGAAATGAATAAGATTACTAATATTT